TTTCATATTCCATACTCATCTTTGCAAGTCTAATTTCATTACCTTATTTTTTTCTGGTGAGGAGGATCCAGAGCAGCTTCTCAGAACAGACTTCAAGTGCAGATCCCGCCAGGGGCTGATACATGCCGATGTGTGCCTCTCAGTGTACTTGGCTATTATTACTCAGTACTTTGTAATCTAGACTGAGTTCCTAAATTCTGGTTGCTTACACCATCTCTTTTCAACTACATATGTACGTCAGGTACAAAAATGATGGGTCTCATGATTTTAATTGGCACATGCAAAGGTGTATAGGTTAGCCATCGTGAAATTTATGTGTTTACTGTGATGTTTACTGATTGACATGTCATGGTTTGCCATTAGTCCAAGTGTAGTAGCACAGACTCTCTGTCAGACTCCTTCACTTGAAGCAGCATTTAGAAGATCAGTCATAGCTATTGTTTTCTCAGTTCTGTCATTTTGATGTTTGTCAACAGTGTTAGTGAAATATTATGAGGGAGGTTACTATGTTTGACCTATTTTTTTTTTTTTTCAGACACATGTAATTTATAAAATGAAACGCAAGGTTGGGGTTTAGAGGTGATATAGTATTTCTACATTGTAAACATTAGACTAATTAATGCATTTAGTTCAACAGGTCCATAAATACCTGTTGTCTCTGTTCACATTTATATATACACAGGACAGAATTTCTGCAACAGTTGGTATTGAGTTGTACCTTAGGACAACGGTTTAACTGCTCATTTATCCTACAAAACATTTTTCTGACCAACTTCTATACGCAGAGATTTTAAAGATCAAAACTCATGATGCAATGAAATGATAATTTTTTCAGAAGCTTATATAAGAGTTTTCAAACACATTGGACATCGCAAATACGCTGCTATTTAGAGGATCAATATTCTGTGGCATATGCTAGAGGAAAGCATATTTGACATACAAAGATAGACATCAAAGCCTATTTTTATTACAACTCTTCACAACAGGGGAGACACAGTGGCTTATTCTAATTCATGGCTGTTCAATTTTGGCACTATCTGAACAAAGCTGATAATTATATTCCAAGAGCTGTTCTTCACACTGCAGGAGAAACAAAACAAACAAAAAAAAAGCCCCACAAACAAAAAAAGCCCCAACTAAAACCAAAATACAGCTCAAACTTCTGCTTTGGTCAGTGGCTACTACCTGGCACTGTTCTGGCCGTTCTTCAAAGGCTCTGCAATGACTTGGAAAAGAGACCGAAGAGTTCTACCTGTCCTGCAGGCTGCCTAGCTAGTAGACACATCATGATGAGGCATATTTGGTTTTCCATGAAGAAAACAGAAGTCTTTTATTTCTAAATAGGTTAATTCAGTTTAGTATAAGTAAAATATAAAGGACAGAAACAGTAATTAAAATTTTGAAGGGTTTGAAGGACACCAGTCTTTTGATTATTTTTTATTATTATTACTATTTTATTTTATTATTATTATTTTAGATAATCCTGCCTGGTTATGCTAGTTCCATGACAACATGTAATTTTTTTCCTTTATTCCTTAGAAACTTAATAGGATCTTACATATATCATCCTTGGATTAAAATACGTTAAAGTTATGCTGTTCTATAAATCTGCAGAAAATCCATCTAATTTAATTGTTTGTACTGAAGATCTTGTACCCAACACCCCATTTTTCATATTTGCAAGTAGCAATCCCTAACTATCTTTAACTTTTTGAGCTAATTTGAGTAACAATTTTTTTTGCATCTTGTTTTCAAGAGAGAATTTTAGAAGGACTTCAGAAAATGAAGGTTTTATTTTATTTTCTACTCAAGAGGAAGAGAACTTGAGCCTGGCTTTTGATTAAATGTGTTGAAGCGTGCAGATTTAGAAGGTTGAAGTATGGCTTTTCTCCTTGCTTCAGTATAAGGACAAAATATTTAGTGCTTCTTAAAATAGGATCCACATTAACACTAATGACGAGACCTTAAAAAAAAAAAAAAATCTTCTTGCTTTTCCCCCTTTTGATATAAAAATTGGAAATCTTGTTCTTATGCTTATCTTCACGTAGTTCATAGTCACAGCCCATTGGGTTGCATGTTCTTCATGACGTCATTGCAAAGCAAGTACAACAAACAAAATTATTGTAGTATTCTGCCATGAAAAGAATTTCTAACCAAGCAGCTGTAACTAAGAAGGTGTTATTACATTATTACACATAAGCACTATACTGCAGCTGTAGCAGAAGTCAGCTCCTGGCAAAATGTTACTTTCATACTGACAACCAGCATGGGCTCCGGATGCAAATTAACGTGGCAGTTACTTGGAATTTCCACTTTCTCCTTTATATATGTTACAGATTAGCTTCCCAAAGTGGACAGCTCATGTTCTTTTAAACAAAGAAAAACCTCCAGTTGTTGAACTTAAGGTATATGAAAGAAAGCTCTGTCCTGCAACAGTTTTCCTACACCTCTACTTTTAATCAACAGTTCCTCATGTAGGAGATGAATATTCCCTACTTGCAGAGTTTACCTTTAATTATTCAGTGTGAAAGTCACAGCAGCAAGGAGATTGATATCTGCAAATAAGTTGATTGTAAGAAGAAAAGGTACTAGCACCTGTGGTTTTTCATTCTCTTCTTTCAGGCCTGATTTTGTTCAAGGGACTTTATTCACTGCTGGTTTTCTGTATATAAGATTACTGTATCTTCGTACTTTCTTCTGCCCCTTTTCTCCCTTTTATTTCTGTATGCATCTATCCATATCTTTTATATATTATTTTTTTCTATATATTAATTCTCTTTTTTAGGAAATTCACTCCTGAATAACCAAATTATGACATTTGTAGGAGCTTCTCTTTGACTTAACATGCTGGGTTTGTTTCAACCCTTATTTTCTGCTTAACTGTATAGTGTGTTTCTGTAACAGGTAGTGAAAAAAAAGAGGCATAGTCCAAAGGGGAGATAGCATTGTCTTTATTCCATGTTATAGGTAAAACCAGTAATTTAACAATCCAAACACCGAGTGCTGAACTCACATTGGTATTGTTTGCTATCCCTAGCAGGCTGTGAAGCAACATAGATTATAATTTAACAAACTAAGAGCAAAAGAAGTGCAGTGCCTTCTAATGGAAAAGTAGAGAAGAGAGGAAGAAAAGTGTCACAGTAAGCCCGTGAGTTAAAGTGAAATAATAGGAAGACTAGGTCTTAGTCTTCTGATTCATGAAGGATATAAATAAAATGACACTGGTGTGAATTGTAGAATCCTCACCTTGTCTTGAGTACAGGTTCCAGAGATTTTCTGGAAGTGAAAGAAGTTAAAAATAACAGCAGTAAAGGTGACAGTGATGTGGCCTGGTATGTATATGAAAGGAATAACTTTCAAATTTTTTTAAGCTTTTAAACCTAACCTGATGCAGGAATGAAAGCCAGGGATACACCACAGCCTGCCTAACTTGCTCTACAGTTGGTCATGCAGAGCACTATTTTCTAGAAGGAAGGGTTGACCACTGTGTTTGCATATTATTATAGCAGTAGTAGCTGCTCACTGCACATCCATCTCATATCACATGGCTTTCATATATGGGCATTCAGAGGCCTGAATGGCGCAACAGTGGAAATCAAAATTCCGCAAGCAAAAGTTACTGCTTCCCCTCCTCCTCCCCTTTTGCCAAGAGTAGTATCTTTCATGCCAGAGCTTATTTTGTGGGAGATGATAAAACATAGTCTAACATTTGGCCGTGGCCTGTTTTTTCCCTTCCTGTCTGCCCTCCCTGCTTCAGTAAAATGAAGCACTGGCAGAAAACTGATGTGGACAAAATGTTGCTCAATAGAATACAAGTAACGGGTGTGAGAAAAATGCTAAGTCAGTGGGAGCTGTGTCGCTCTTGGGACAAATGAAATAGTCTTGCTATTGAAAAGATGCCTAATAAGCTATATAATAAAAGGAACATTGGAATGTGGCAAATGTAACACTGTGCACTTAATACTGATACGACATGAGGGTGAGTGGTGATTCATTATTTTGTTGAACGCTTGAATTTGTTTTCTACTTTGCATGCTTGCTTTGCCCTTTCTGAAATTATGCCCCATCTGAAACATACTTAAACTACAAAGTACTGGAAGGGGAGGAGGAAATTAGTCATTTCTGGACTTACGGCTGTAACCGTGTTTTCATACCCAGTTACAATGCGGAATTGTCTGCTTTTCACCTTGTGTGCAAATAGATAAGAACTTTTAAAATATGTCTCTGCAAAACTGACAGTTGAGTTTTCAAGGCAGCATGGAGCCTGTTAGTTTCTGGTAGCTAGTGAGGACAGCGGATAATGGGCACCTTAATCCATTAAAACTTTGAGAGTTTCAGCTTTGTGGTTTAAAGTATGTTTACAAAACAAGATTCCTGTATGGATGCATTTGCAGTTTCACATTCTTTCTGGACAGCAGAGAACAAAAAACCGTATTTCTGAATGAAATAATACATTGCACCTGCTCTGTAAATACCACTTCCTTGCAGAGCTGTACTAATTACAGTACACTCTTGTTCTCCCACTTTCCCTTTTGAACTGTTGGCTGCAGGTGATCCTGTACCTGCATGAGGAAGTCCGATGCTACCGTGCCTAAATACTGAATCGTTTTTCCCCATTTTGAATTCAGAAATGGTGCCAAAATTTACACCACATGTAACGTGGAAGTAGCTTATTTTGAAATTAATGAAATTATCCAACATTTACTGTGACATAGTTTCATTATTTAAATAAATACTAGAGTTCAGGAACAGTATTACTTCATGATAATATTTTAGTTAATGCAAAAATAGAAACTGTGGTTTGTGTACATTAGTCAAAAATGAGCTGCCAATTATCTAGCCATTGTCAACACATCTATATTTGTCTATTTACATTCCCTCTTTTCAAGTATTTGAAGCTTTTACTTTTAGGAGAGAAACATATTATAAAATTTTCAGCTATGACTGAGCTCTCTGTAACTTGTATTTTTGGTTGACTGCAGTATCCCTTCTCTTTGCAGTAAAGGGTTGCCTTCAAGCTCAACATTCACTTTAGAAGACAGTGCCATCTATTTGACTTCAGAACAAAGCACACTGGAAATGGAAAATGATAATGCTTCAGTTTTGGATGTCTACTTAGTAAGTTGTCAAACTGTTTCTGATGGGCTTTTTCCCCTGTAATTCCTTTGACTCAGGCTCAGTGACTAAAACACATGCTAAACTTCAATATCCAGAGGTTCATTGTGGTATTTCTTACATGAGATATATGCTTAAGCATGTAATATATAATCTTATGTTAGGTATCTGTTACCGACCTCCCAACCAGGATGACAAGGCTGACAAAACCCTGCTTTGGCTGGTCAGGGAAGTCTTGGATCAAAGAACCTGGTCCTCATGGGTGGCATTGATTACCCAGACATTTGGGAGGACAACACAGCAGTGCACAAACTGGCCATGAGATTCCTGGAATGCATAAGGACTGCTTCCTGTGACAGGTGCTGGACATGCCGCCAAGGAACAGCACCTTGCTACATTTACCGGTTACAAATGGAAGACTTACTTAACATGTTAACTACCAATGGTAGCCTTGGATACAACAATCACAACGTTGTGGAGTTTAAGTT